GCTGCGCGGGCCCGGGGCTCGGCCGAGCTGAGGCGGCGGCGCCGGTCCGCGCGCCCTTTGGGGCCACCTCCGCACCCTGCTCGCCGGCGTCTGGCTCTCATGATGATGAAGAAGAAGAAGTTTAAGTTTAAGGTGGACTTCGAGCTTGAGGAGCTCTCCTCGGTGCCCTTCGTCAACGGGGTCCTCTTCTGCAAGATGCGGCTGCTGGACGGCGGCAGCTTCACCGCCGAGTCCCCCAGGTAACGCGCTCTCCGCGCCGCCCGCGCCTCCCGGGCAGCTGCGCCCTCGCCCGCTCCGCGGGGCCTCGTTGGATGGGCAGCATCTCTCTCCTCGGCCCATTTGCTCCGGGAGGGCAGCCAGCCTCGTGAGCTCCCCTTTCTCTAGGGACCAGTGTGAAATCAATCAGGAATTTATTGATCTGCACAAAGTGCTTCGCAAATGGGTTCATCTCGGCTGGGCTTGGCTCCTGCGCTCCTCATTCCAGATGGTTCCTGGTATCTGCTTTTCCCCCCTAAATTCTCTAGAAATGGGAGGGGGGCAATGGGCAGAAGGGAGAAGATGCTTCTGGTTTTTCTTAAGACGTTTTCAGGTTTGTGAAATGCAGAGTGGAACTTGAGCTGTTGTTAAAACAAAAACAAAAATAACCCAAACTGCTCGCGTTCCAAGAGCGCCCGCTCCGAACAGAAGCCTGTGCTTAGCATAACTCCTTCTCCCTTGCTGGTTAGCCGGGGACTCGGGCGCCTAGGATGCGGCTGGGGTGGGCCTGGTCAGGCGTGACTTGAGTCAAGTGTTCCTGGCAGACGGGACAACAGTCTGTGCCTCATCAGAAAGCTGCGTCTCCAGTTACGCACTAACACTCACTGAATTACCCGTCTTGAAGTGACCACTAGTGACTCTCAGTGTGGAGGACTTAGAACCAGAGGAGAGCCCAGGCCCTGCCCTCATTTTGAAATGAGCCCCTGGGCACTCTCAGGGAGAGTCTTTGGCAGGTTCCAGAATGAAGTCAGGAGTGATAGTTTTCCTTGAGTCATTTCAAGGCTTTTTGTAGGTTGACAGATGTACCCTAAGGTGTGTTCCTTAAAAAATTAGAAAATTTACGGAAGTTTTTTCAATGAACTTTTAAGTTCCTGAGATCAAGGAAAAAGGTTAATAATGCTTATTTTGCCTAAATTTACTGTTCATAGACTTTATTTTTACCCAAAAAATATTCTGCTTTCCTTTTATCTGTCATCTCTATTAATAATATAAAGGAAATAATGTCAATGGGTTTTGGAATTGGGGCCAGAAAACTGTCTGAAGTGGCAATATTGAAGCCTATGGAAGCCAGAAAATGTAAATGTCTAGTTGGCCAAAGCAGAGGAGGTATGAAGCACTATTGATTCTCAGAATTAAAAAAGTCAGCCGAGGATAGTTTTAAAATTAAACTGCAATAAGAAATCTTCTGTGGATATTCAGCTAATTAATTATACTACAGTCATTTTTAACACACTGATAAGAGGACAGTGTAACCTAGAATGGTGCCACAAATATTTTACCAGCTCTTAGGGTGTTGAAAAACTAAAGCCAATTCTTGAATGTCTTCCAGGTGTTGTCCCCCTACCCCCACCCCGCCTCTGGTGGTTAGGTCAGCTCTCCTGGGCCAGTGGTGACACCTGGTGGTCAGGGTACTTCCCTGCTACCTCCTTTCTCCCTCAGATTGTTCATCTGGCTTGCTTCTCACAAGTCAGTTACTCCGGTATTGCAGGCAATCACTTATTCAGCAGATATGTATAGGCTGGGCCCTTTAAATATATTATTTAATTTTCACAGCAAGCCTGTGAGGTAGGGATTCCCATTTTGTGGATGAATAAACCGAGCCTCAGAAAGCAAAAATAACTTTCCCAAAGTCCCCACATCTGGTAAGTGAAATGCCAAGATTCGGATCCAGGTCTGTCTGATTTCAAACAGACTGATGCCAGATAAAGGAGAAGATTGTGTGCCATGCTGAAGAGTTTGGGAATAGGGAGCTTCCTAATGGTTTTAACAAGCAAGAGGTATACTTTGATTTGTACTGTGTAAGAGTTGGAAAGGAAAAAAGCAGAGTATCCTGGGTTAAACTTACCCCTTTCTCTTCCAACTGAAATTTGGCTTTAATCAAGGTCAGTAAGGTTAAGAATAGTGCTCTGTAAAACCAAACAACCAAAAAACAAAAAAAAACCATATAGTTTGGAGAGAAATGATTCATAATCAGGAGCCTATGCCTTTGAAGTTAGGTAGAAGTAGCTGGTGTAATGCTAAGAGCAAGAGTTTGGAATGAGACAGATCTGAGCCTAAATCCTAGCTCCACCGTGGTGAACCTGGGTGGGTTACGTAGCCTCTCAAAGCTTCCATCTATAAAATGAAAACGGCCGCTGGCATATAGGGTTGTTTTGAGGATTTAGTAAGATGATGTAGCTAACATAGTGCTCTGGCACCCAGTTGACGTTTAAAGAGATGATAAGGAGCTTGTCCAAGAGGGTTCATTTCCTTTAGATATTATACTTAATTTCTCTATCTTGACAATTATGAAAGTGTTGATTTGAGAAAGAGACCTCGTTTTACTAGAAAAAAGAAAGAAAACCTGAAATACTTAAAGGATGTGAATCATTTCAAAATTGTATAACTTTTAATTTTTGGATGCCAGTCTAGGCAGTGCATCTCTAATTAAAAGCTAGATTTTAATTTTTAAAAAATCACTTCATGTGCCTCTTATAAATCAAATATAGTTAGCACTGTAACATTTCTCCTATAAAAATAAGCAATGAACTACATAGAAAAGGGTTAACATAGCAGGCCCAAGGCTGCTCTCCTTAGAAAGGCCTGCTTACAATGTTGGCCCTTTACTGGCATCCAGGGACTTGAATGGTCAACAGTGATATAAACACTGATATAAAACTTTACCTAAATGATAAGAGTGGCTCTCTGTGCCTAGACTACAAACAGTGTGACTTATGCAGAATACTTTCTGGGAGTCTGGAATTTTGGCATGTGGTAGGCAGAGGGTGCTTACGTGACCAGCCCTAAAAAAACCTTAGGCATTGCGTCTCTAATGTGCGTCCCTGTTAGACAGCATGTGTTGTCACAATTTGATGCTGGAGAAATTGTGTTCTGGGTGACTGCACTGGGAGAGGACTCTTGGAAGCTTGTGCCTGGTTTCCTTAGGACTTTTCTCCATACACCTTTTCACTTTGCTGGTTCTGCTTTGTATCCTTTCACTGTAATAAAACTTAGCCATAAGTAAGACTATATGCTGAGTCCTATGAGTTGTCCAAATGGATCACTGAACTTGAGGGTGGTCTTGGGGACCCCTGATGCATGAACCTACTTAGTAAAATAATGTGCATTTTGTTAGAGAAAAGCCTTAGAGGTACATAGCAAATTATAAATATATTTGGCTTTGTACAAAAACTCAAGGTGCAGATCATTCATTGTTCACCAAGTATTAATTGAGCATTTACTGAGTTTCTAGCTGTCTATCAGGGACTATGAGAAGTACAACAAATATAATTCCCATAAGGGTATTACCTTTACTTAATGAAATTAGATCATAGATGTGTAATTGCTAGACAGCAGGAGACAGTATGATTTAGTGCCTAATCGATGAGTCAGACAATATGTGAGTATTGTTGAAACTCTGGAAGAAAAGAGTTTATTTACAGCGGTAATGGTTACTGAAAACTGTATTAGCTTTTCAGCTGAGCATGCTGGGAGGATGAATTTGCACTGACAGGGAAGTGCAAGTGGGAGGACAGCTTGAGCAAGCCATCAATAGGAGTTGATGGTAGATCAGCCTGGTTGTAGAGTTCACATTGAACAGAAGCATAAGATAAAAACCTTGAATGCCATTAAAAAGAGTTTGCTGTCCATTGCTCACAGGACAAAATTCAATCTAAGATTCTTACACTAAGTTGTAATGTGATTAAAGTGGTATTTAAGCTGGCTGGTGGGTTGATGCTCTTTGGATTCAAGTGGGGATATATTAGAGATGGAGAGACAAGTTAAGAGGCTATTAAAATAACCCAGGCAGGAGCTAATAAGAACCTGAACTCAGAGGTTTCTCATATAAGTGACTGATGAAATGATAATGCCATGACAGATGTCTTGATGACATGACAGAAGTAAAGAAGTCAAGAGGGATCTTTGTTTTATTTTGTTTTATTGAAGGGAATATAGTATAAGGTAAGGGAGGATATGAGGAAGTAAGTTATATGTTTAACATACTACACTGAGGTGACAGTGAGCCTGTAAGCAGGTGGTGGCATATTTATTGTGTATTTCTTAGATTCTGGTGTTTTCTAAGTAAACTTGCTTACTGAACTTTTCATCTAAGAATGTCCTTAAACCACTTTGCCCTTTTAAGGATTATTAGTGAGAATTAATTTTAGAAGGATCCAGTTTCTCCTGGGAAGGTTTGTCCAGTGATGAGGTTAGAAAAAAATATAAAAACTAAAAGATATTTATTTGTAATAAATGTTATTAAAATGGTCAGATTTTTACATACCATAGTTAATAAAACCTTCAGAAAATACATTGCACGATTATAGTGATCTAATAAACTGAAGCCAAATTATTGCCTAATAAAATATTTTTGAAGACCTTTCATGAAGACAGAATATTACATTATTTAAATTTTTTCACAGCACTCTTCCTTTGTAAAAGCATTTAAATCACTTTTGAGGTTTATTCGGAGTGTTAGAGCAGATTTAATTCCTGGTCTGCTTTAGTAAAGGAGTAATAGGAAGAAATTTTTCATGTATTTTTTAGGATTCCCAAATTTCCCTTACTTTGTTCATCTTTTTTTATGCTCGTAGATAAATACTTCCTTCTCAGTTTCACATGCACTTGTGGCAAAAAACCATGTGAATTCAGGGAGTGTCTGGGAAGCTAATGAGCACATCTGTGTATTGGATCTTCTACTTTGTAAACAAGCTGAAGGGATTTCTTCCCTTTGGCCAGAGTACATCTTCATGTTTTCAAGATTTTAGTTCACTGTACATCGTGTACTTCTTTTTAGTAACTTTTTTCCTTATTACAAAAGTAACATGGACTCATGTGGAAAACTTAGAAAATAGAAAAGGAAAAAGAAAAGAACAAAAATTGCATATGAACAAACCACCCAGAGGTAATCACTATTAATATTTTGGTGTATAATCCAGGAGTCTTTATTCATGTACGTGTACATATATATATACACACACACCCTCCCACACACACTTATCAA